GAAAAAAAAAAAAAATTTTAAAAGCGACGGCAACACCTGAGAATCGTCCCAAATGGCAAAATGTCCTCACCCAGACAACCAGCTAAGCATTTAAAAATCACCCTGTGAATCTTTATCGGCTTGCATATCCAGGTCCCACAGGAGGCCAGACAGGCAGGCAGTGAGTCAGCACTGACAAACAGCTTTGGGTGGGGAGAACGTTGCTTATCTTTTTAAAAATTTTTTTTTAATGTTTACTTATTTTGGAGAAAGAGACAGAATGCGAGTGGGCTAGGGGCAGAGAGGAAGGGAGACGCAGAATCCGAAGCAGCTCCAGCCCCTGAGATGTCAGCACAGAGCGTGACGCGGGGCTCGAACTCCCAAGCCGCGAGATCATGACCTGAGCCGAAGTCGGACGCTCAACCGACTGAGCCCCCCAGGCGCCCCGAGAACGTTGCTTATCTTTAGAGAGTTTCATTTGCTCACAGTGCACACCAGAACTGATCCTGTTTTTCGTGATGTGAAAAGAGGTTTGTGAATCTGTTACGGGTAAGGGTTAGGGCCTGCTGTTGTTATAATCACTCCTGCCAACATAAATTCCTGAAGGTCTTACCTGCATCCTGGTTGTCTTTTTTTCCCTTCCTTTAACTTAAAACCACCTGACACTATCTTGTCCATTTATTTTCTTGACTATCTGCCTTTAGAGATTAATTTGTTGTGCTGGTGAAAGCAGCCCCATTAATCTATTTTAGAGACTCGGACCACTGCTCTTGGACTAATTATTTTGTACCCAAATCCTCACCTTTATTTGTACACGGCAGAACAGTTCGTTGGCCCTCACCGTATTCAACCGTACTGGCCTTTAATTCTTCCTTCATTTACTAACAGGCCTCTTAGAACCTGTACACTTGATACTCAGAAATGTCAACTAAAGTCCACATAAATAATCCCACCACAGTAAATAATCAGTGGAGGAAATCCAGCACAATTATAATCTCTTACTTTATAATCACTAGGAAAGCTAACTTGATCGAGGGTCCCATTAGCAATGAGGGAGAATATTATTTGCTACAAACACCTGAATCTTGTTAAGATAAAATCTTACTGAATTTACAAACTGTGAGGTTTGTTTTTTAATTGTGACTCCCTTTGCTAAAGATACAGAAGTCCAAAAGCCAAGTGTCAAATTGCCTTTAATTCGTGTTCTTTCTTCCGTCCAGATAAGTCTAAACACAAGAAGAGAATGTGGCACTATTTATAACTGGGGTTGATCAGCTTTTCAAACATGATCATTCATTCTGAATGTAATGAAAAAAGAAAAGGTCATAAAATCACAATCAGACATTCGAAAATGCCAACCATTTAATTTTTTTTTAACATTTATTCATTTTTGAGAGAGAGAGAGAGAGAGAGAGAGCGCGTGAATGGGGGAGGGGCAGAGAGAGAAGGAGACACAGAATCTGAAGCAGGCTCTAGGCTCTGAGCTCTCAGCACAGAGCCCGGCGCAGGGCTCGAACCCATGAACTGCGAGACCGTGACCTGAGCCGAAGTCGGACACCCAACCGATTGAACCACCCAGGAGCCCTGAAAATGCCAACCACTTAAAGGTCCACTGTCCTTTAAAGCCTGTATGTCCTCCATCATGTGTTTTTAAAAAACAACAACCATTAATTACTGGGGGAAAAGCATCCAAAGCAAGACCCATGGGGCTCTTCCTATAATAGCAGCTCCTTCTTTCCTTGGGTCACAATTATTGCTGTCATCATCATTTTCACTATTTTCACGGTTATTCTGCTTCTAAGAGCGTGCAGTAAAGAATTTCACTTGCCCAGAAAGAGGGCTAGTCTCTGCCCTCAGCTCCTGGAGGGTTCTAAGCTCTTAGAATGTCTGCTTGATAAAAGTGTCTTTGTTTACCTGGGGGCCTTGGGCCATGCTGGAGAGTCTAACAAGGTGACTTAGGGTGGGGGCTTTGGGTCATCTGATGTCAGCTCATTATACCAAGGGACTGGAGACTGAAGTCGGCCACGTGGGCAGTCTACTGTGTCTCTGTGACCAAGTCCCAATAAAACCTCTGGGCGTCAAGGCTCAGGTAAGTTTCCCTGGTTGCCAATACTCTGAACACATTGTCACACATCAGAGCTGAGAGAATCAATACTCTCCAGGACTCTGCCAAAAAAGGACAGCTGGAGACTCTGTGTTTGGAACTTTGCTGGACTGTGCCCCACATACCCTTCCCTTGGCTGATTTTCATCTGTAACCATTGACTGTACAAAAATGAAATTATGGGTATAGAAACTCTCAGTGAGTGCCATGGGTCCTTCTGGAAAATCATCAAACATTAGTATGGTCTTAGTGACCCCTAAACTTACCATTGGTGTCAGAAATGAGGATGGGCTTATAGACTGCTCCCTAACTTTGCAGAGTGCTGAATAAAGACCAAAAAAGAAATGCAGAGGTTTGCTCTATGACTGCATGCCTTTGGAAAGTTTACCTAACCCTTCTGGGTTGATTTTCCTCCATGAAGACAATCTCTTTTTTTTTTTTTTTTTTTTTTTTTTTTAATGTTTATTTTTGAGTTGGGAGGGAGGGTTCAAGAGAGAGGGAGACACAGAATCTGAAGCAGGCTCCAGGCTCTGAGCTGTCAGCACAGAACCCAATGTGGGGCTCGAACTCACAAACCATGAGATCATGACCTGAGTTGAAGTCGGACGCTTAACTGGCTGGGCCACCCAGGTGCCCCTCCATGAAGACCATCTTAATCAGATTTAAAAATATTCCAGAGAGGAGCTTGTGCTGACCTAGTGAGAATTCACAAAAAGGCAGTGAGAAATAGAGCACAGGGTATAGACTCAAATATGGGTCCAAATGCTAGGTCCAGCACAACCTGGCTTCTTGTCCCTGGGCAGAGGGGTCCCGGTGCATAAAAAGCCCTCGTGAAAGTGTGCGATCAACTGGCATACTGGGATCAAAATCCTTTTGGCTACTTGGAAAAGTTATTCTTCTTTCTGATTAGTAAACCCCAATCCTTTATTACTCACCTTCCTAATTACGCTAAAACATAGTAAGGCTCTACTAGCCAATGGCTACAACCACTAGAATGTCATTTGCATTGATTTCAGGCTTACTTCGAAAGCTCTCAGTTCTCTCACTGTTCAGAAACATTGTTCTCAAGGTGACAGCTTCCAAAGGGCGTATTTCAACTCATTCATCCAGCATTCAAGCTCTCTTCCTCATCCCAGCTCCAAATTGCAGTCTTTTTGGAGGAAACCCCATGAGAGCCCGGAAGAAAAGGTTCCTCTGCAGGTGGGCACTATGACCCATTTAAACAGAGTGAAACGGCCACTTCCTTGGATTTATCACGTATGGATCCCCTGAAATCACATTCCATTTGGCAGTTTGGTAACTCACTTAGAAAACCATGGGATAAGCAGACACCCTGGCAATTCTGTCCTTTTATTCTGATTTTAATACCCTTTAAGCACTTAATTCTCACCATAGTTAACTGTGAACTTAAGAGAGGCTGTTTTTTTTTTTTTTAAATGTTTGTTTATTTTGAGAGAGAGAGAGAGAGCATGAGTGAGGGAGGGGCAGAGAGACAGAGAGGGAGAAAAAGAATCCCAAGCAGGCTCCGCGATATCAGCACAGAGCCCAACACGGGGCTCCATCTCATGACCTTGAGATCATGACCTGAGCTGAAATCAAGAGTCAGACGCTTCACCGACTGAGCCACTCAGCTGCCCCGAGAGACTGTTTTTTAAAAAAATTTTTTTTTTCAATGTTTTTATTTATTTTTGGGACAGAGAGAGACAGAGCATGAACGGGGGAGGGGCAGACAGAGAGGGAGACACAGAATCGGAAACAGGCTCCAGGCTCCGAGCCATCAGCCCAGAGCCTGACGCGGGCTCGAACTCACGGACCGCGAGATCGTGACCTGGCTAAAGTCGGACGCTTAACCGACTGCGCCACCCAGGCGCCCCGAGAGACTGTTTTTTAAATGGGCACACAGGTTCACCGCTTTATTGAAGTCCCTAGATTAGTTACAGGCACATAGATGTTCAACAAACATTTGCTGAGCAAACGAAAATGCCAAGGTGTGTGTCCTCTAGTCGCACATAGCCTGTGTTGTAAATACCCAGTTTATATTTTGTCTCCACTGCAATCAGCTCAGAACAGGAGCTCCGAGGGTTTCCATGCACCTCCATGTACACATAACTGAACCATGTTTTGCAGGACAGGTTGAAATGCTAAATGGAGACAGAGCTGATGTGAGCAGGATAAGTTAACAATGGCGCCCACAGAAGTTGGTCAGAAAAGCAAGATGGAGTCACCATGATACCACAGAGAAAGGAGATCCCGCCTTCTTCCCATTGACACGGGGAGAACAACCAAGCAGGCCCGACTTTTGAGAAACGCCGGTCAATTTCTATTTGCGAACCATGATTACACATCCATTTCCTGCACTATCCTGGTTCCATGACATTTCCATGACCCAGACGATTACCGGAACCCAATGAGATGCCTCTCACCACCTACTCACAGACTTAGTCATCCTGCATGAAACCCTGACGCATATCGACCTACGGACTCTGATTGCCAAAATCATATGTAACATCGTAACCTCTCTTTCAAATAATGAAATAAATGCACAGGAAAAAAAATATGATGTTTATCAGAGAGCAATGGCACAGCCACTGTCAACTATAAAAAGAGATGTTTAGAAGTACACTGACTGGACTGACAAGTCCCCTAACAGATGGTAAGACAGAGCCCTCGAGCCCGTATTAAATACATTTTCTGTCCACCATATCAGTACAAGGGAAGTGCTCCTATGTGACCCTAAGATTTGAAAACCATGCAGTCTAAGAGTGAGAAATAAGAAAAGAAGCTCTTTTCTGGCCCGGCTAACTGGCCCCAACACCTTACCTCAGAGTTCTATGATGCCCACCCGGCTGTCACTACTGATCACTCAAACCCACGTAAGAACCAAAATTAAATTACTCCTTCTCTTCTTGCATTCTATAGAAACCTTATTTTTCTACATTTGAATCGGCTCTATTTGAATGGCAGCCACATCAGAAATGGCACTTACTCAAGGGGAAAAAATTAAAACACCATTCTTACCAATCAATCACAAACACCACAAACAGTGTGGTGACGACAATCATGTTGCTATGTTTTGAAGGGTCCGAGTCAGAAAAGATGTGCGCATCAAGGGTCCACAGCTGGGAATGTGAACCGAAATTGGGAAAATACAAGTTCTTTTCTGATTAGCCAGGCTCCCACATAAAATGAAACCGTGGGCCCAAAGCATGTGACATGAAATTAGCACATTCTGTAAGGTGTACTCTTCAAATTGAATAATTCAAGAATATCATCCTTGATGAACTGGGGCATTTTGCATGTTTAATATGTAATGGAGAAGTATTACCTTATAAAGAACCAGACTCACCTAGCATGCTTACCCTGACTTCTCCAATTATTAACTATATTACCTCGGGCAAGTGACAAAGCCCTTCTATGTCTCAAATTCCTTACCCGATAACAATTCCTCAACCTCACAGCTTTGTTGGGAAGAAGAAATAAGTTAATACATGTAATCTATTTAGATCAGTCCCTCGCATATGCTTAATTATTCAGCTATTATTATTGTTACCGCTAAAAATATTATCAGTGCAAAACCATCAGAGAGGAGGAAACGGAGGCTCAGACAAGTTGAGAGAATTGCTTAAAGTCACACACACGTAGCGCTGGTGTTGACATAACACTCTGGTCTTGAAGTCCAGTCTTCCCACCACCCACCCCACCTCTGCAAAGAGGCTATAAATAAATATCCCCGAATCAGCAACGACGTCTTCCTTACATTTCTAACTTCAAAGTGACATAGAATTGTATGTAAAATCCTTTGATCAAAAAATAGCACCTCCAGAGAGGACTATTTTAAAAAGAACATCATTAATTGGTAGGCACTTAGTTGAGATAGGACAAAGTCCTTTAATGTCCTAAATGTGTTGTCACGTAGTTTAGGAAGCCAGACGGGGGGAAGAAAGAGCACAAGATCGGGTGTCAGAAACTCGGGGTTGAATCCTCCCTTTACTCACTGCTGTGAACTCACAGACAAGATAACCCAACTTCCTTCTTCAAGTGCTTGTGAGGGTTAGATAAGATAATGCTTGTTACTGCAATGCGAACTCCAGAGCTTTGGAAAAATAATAAGCTGTGGTTTTTATCGTCACAAGGCAGGTGCCAACCTTTTCTGAAATGACCCTTTAATGGATGAGTGAACTTATCTGCAGTTCCTTAGCATTTCACACCATTTCCATCTCCGGAAACCATGAGCTAGAGAACACACAGATGTTCGCTTGTCAACTCCACTGCCTTTCCTACTTTCTTCCTTTAGAACTCCAAAGAACATCCCAATATTACATGCTTTCATCTCTTAAACCTCCTTATAAAAACCAGATGAGGAATACTTTTGTTCTGGGGGAAGCAAGACTCACCGTCTTCACTTAACTGCCTGGCTGTTCACAAGTGTGAACATTTTGCTTCCCAGATATTCCAACAACTGGAGGCGAATAGGGCCCATGAAAGTGCAACCTTTCTTACCTAACTACCAGAACCTGAACTGTCCCCCTGGGACAAGAAGTAAAGAAGGTTAATGATTCAGTGAGTAACTGACATGTCTACACCAGACAGTCTATAACCACTCTTGGCAGCTACCCTACGACTCCCAAATAACACGTTAATTCAGTGACACAATCCGTCACCTTTCTGATGACTAAATCCTAATGACCTAATGACTAAATCCTACTATTCTTGTCTAACCTTTCACAACAATTTAATGTAAGTTTCCAAATAGCTTCTTATTTTAACCCTTATGTTAATTCCCAAAGTAATTATAAATCAAGAAGCTCTTTTCCCAAAAGAGTTCATGATGAGGTTGCTTGCCTCCATCCTGTCCTTGCTTCCAGAAGGCCTCTAATCAAAGTATCAACTCTTCAAGGAATTTAGAAAGTCAAACTCTTAAAAAAAAAAAAAAAAAAACTCTCTCCAGTAGAAAGCTGTCCAAATAGTGACATTTTGAGTAGCCCCCTTGTTCCGTACACACACATATCGCTGAAAAAAAATCTGGTTTGCAACCTGGTCACTCCACAGTGAGACCCGCCAATGGACAAGCTGTGCTCACACTACAACAGATTCAATCAGCTTACTGGCTCCTAACACTCAAACGTGGACACACTGCCAAAAGTCAGCAAAGACAAATAAAAACAGAAAGAAAAAAGGTGAGATTCAGAGAAGACAGAGACAATGCAGAGAACCGAAAAATCTTAAAAGCAAAAACAAAGAAATCAAACATTTGATTAATATTCCCAAAGAGAAAAGAAATGCATCCACAAAACAAGAAATATGCAAACAGAAAATGCACCCCCAAAACAAGAAATACGGAAACAAAATAGTGAACAGAGATCAAGAACGTGCTCTTGAATATTAAAAATAACACAGCTGAAATTTTAAAATATCACTAAAAAGACTGGAAGATAAAGTCAGAGATATCTTCCAGAAAGTAGAACAAAAAATCAAGGAGATGGGACAACAAAAGGAAAAAGATAAGAAATTAGAGGCTCCATCCAGGAGATGTAATATCTATATAACACGAGAGACAGTATTATAGGATACTAAGGAAGAAATTAATAAAAATCATAATAAATAAATAATAAATAATAATTTTTTAAGAGCTGAAAGACATAGGTCTTCAGACTAAAAGAGCTTGCAAAGTACCCAGCCATGAATTAAAAATGGACCTACACTGGGGCACCTGGGTGGCTCAGTCAGTTAAGTACCCAACTTGGGCTCAGGTCACGATCTCACAGTTTCTGAGCTCAAGCCCCACGTTGGGCTCTGTGCTGATGGCTCGGAGCCTAGAGCCTGCTTAGGATTCTGTGTTTCACTCTTTCTCTGCCCCTTCCCCTCTCATGTTCTGTCTCTCTTTCTCTCTCAAAAATAAATAAGCATTAAAAAAAAAAAAAAGAGGACCCACACTAAAGCATATCACTGTAAAATTTCAAGGTAAGGAGATAATCCTAAAAGTTAATTGAGGGGGGAAATACAGGTCACATACAAAGGTCTGAGAATGGAAGTGATATCAGACTTTTTAATACTAGAAATGACAAAATTTCTAGTATTAAGGCGATGCCTTAAATTTGAGGGGTTTTTTGTTTGTTTTCTTAAGTTTATTTATTTTGAGAGAGAGAGAGAGAGAGAGAAAGAGAGACAGAGAGCGAGTAGGGGAGGGGCAGACACAGAAGGAAAGAAAGAATCCCTAGCAGGTTCTACACTGTCAGCACAGAGCCCTACATGGGACTCAGTCCCATGAACCATGCAATCATGACCTGAGCCAAGATCAGGAGTTGGACACTTAACCGACTAAGCCACCCAGGTGCCCCTTAAAATTGAGTTTTAATAATGACTTTTATCCCAGAATTCTATGCCATCCAAATTATTCATCAAGATGCATTTTCATACATGTAAAGATTCAAAAAATTTACCTTCTATTCATCCTTTCCCAAAAAGCTACTAGATGATGTACTCCCACAAAAATGAGTAACACTGAGATTTAAGAAACAAAGCATCTAACAAACAGAACAGCAGTGAACAGAAATCTCAGTACAGTTAGCTACTCAGTAGATCCAGAGAATAACTCCTCCAGATTGTTTCATAGGAGTGTCAAGAGGAAAGTCTGGGGTGGGGGCATAGTAATGATGGGTTTGAGCATACAGAAAATATACTACATGTTTGACAAAGATCTTGGAGAGTTCAACAAAAAATAGCAATAGGTACTAGACAAGATAAAAGACAAGATAGTTATCAATTCCAGGAAAAACAAAGGGTTATACCACAAAGGAGCCATGGTCATATCTCACTGTTTGGCTTAGCCCTGAAAAATATTTCTTTAAATCATAATAGTATAAACCTTGACCACTGATTCAACAAAATACTGGTCAATAACTTTATTAAGGGGATGGGAGAAAATAAATTTTGCAGACAGTGAAAGAACTACCATATTTCCCCTTAAGCCACTAAATGAAAAAAAAATAGTAAATGAATATCTGGGGATATAAGAATAAATAATAGGAAAACAGCCTATACAAATATATATATATTTGTATATACATATATATATGTATACACATATACATCCTGTAACATATATATATATACAAATATATAAATCCTGTAATACATATATATACGAATATATAAATATAAAATATATACCTTTAGGAAGAGGAACTCAGGGATGGGAAAGGCAATGTTATTTTTTCTTTATAAGCCTAATTGTATCTTTGGCTTTCAAAACTATGAATATATATTGCATTAATTAAAAAATATATTTAATAACTTTAATTTTTAAAATTAAAATTAAAAATCTCTGAGTGTGAGATGCAATCAACGTAAAGGAAACAGAAATTGTAAGATTGAAGCTCAAGTAAGCACTTGGCCTCAAGCCAAATGATCACAAAACACCCTAGTCATTTAAATCTTACACACTTTTGTGAAAAAAACATCTAATGAATCTCCTAATTTTTCTGATTGATCACAGGAACAAATGAAAAGGACTTCAATTACCAATCTTTTTCATAACTGATCAAATCCTCAATTTCTATACTGTTTGTACCTTCGCTCTTTAGAGTATATATGAAATGCTTTGGTCTAATCAAACTAATATCCATTGTTCTTCACGCTAATATTTATACACTTGATGATAAATATACAAACAAGGTATAAAATTTCTTCTTCCAATAAAAGTAATTCTTTTCAATGACAGAATTTGCTTTTAGCATCTCAAAACTGCATATCTATACACTAAAAGAATGTATTCTCCAGTTATAAATCTGAGGCTTTTGCTAAAATGATTCCAAACCCTCTCACGAGTACCTTTGAATTTGGTTTTTATATAAAAACAAGCAACACACCCAATTCCATTTGTTTTGAGCCTTCGTGAACCAGACATGCTTCGACACACACTTAAGGAAGTTTAATACTGCACTTCACTTGCGGATAGTAACTTCTGCTTAGTATACACATAACCAAACCCATGAAGTGCCGTTTAGCTTTAAAAATACACAGACTGATTTCATAACAACGATTTCAAACACGGCATTTAGGAAAAGTGACTCATTTACCTCTGTTGGTTTGTAGCAGTCTACAAGAGCTTCCTAGAAGAAAACACACAGAAGGTAAGTTTGATTATCTTAAAATTCAGTATCATTTAAAAAGTGAAATTAGGGGCGCCTGGGTGGCTTCAGTCGGTGAAGCGGCCGACTTCAGCTCAGGTCATGATCTCACACTCCATGAGTTCGAGCTCCACGTCGGGCTCTGTGCTGACAGCTCAGAGCCCGGAGCCTGCTTCGGATTCTGTGTCTCCCTCTCTCTCTGACCCTCCCCTGTTCATGCTCTGTCTCTCTCTGTCTCAAAACAAATAAATAAATAAAAACATTTTTAAAAAAGTGAAATTAAAAGTCCTTTATTTGTACGGTATTCTTCTAAACATGGGCAACCCAGATTTCATAGCGACAATCTAGAATCACACTTCATTTCAGCAGCTGTTGCTCATCTTGAAGATATCAAAAGTTGTACCTTCCTGCGCAGGACTGCCTGGCACCCGTCAGAACACAAACGCACACCTCTCCTCTGGGCTACCAACTTGGTTAATAATAAACTGTGTATACTGAAGTTGAGACAGCCTGTGGGAAATGGTAAGAATCACCCTGGACATGGAAAGCCGGGCACCCGGCTGTGATTCAACCACAACCCACCTTGTCACACCTCTGCAGGTCTCAGTGTCCTTGCCTGGAAACCAAAGCAGATGGCCTGACAGTAGCTAAAGCCCCTTTCAAGTCCTCTATTTTATTGTTTTTAGTTTATTTATTTTGAGACAGAGAGAGAATGAGCTTGAGTGGGGGAGCAGAGGGGGCAGAGAATCCCAGGCAGGCTCTGTGCAGTTAGAGCAAAGCCCGATGTAGGTCTCAAACTCACGCACCATGAGATCACGACCTGAGCTGAAATCAAGAGTTGGATACTCAACTGACTGAGCCACCCAGGCACCCCAAGTTCTCAATTTAAAAAAAAAACCTTTTTTATGTCACTATATTTTCTATAGAACTGGTGCCTGTTCTGTATTCTTTTAATTTTCATAACTAGATGCTATCATTTCCCAGCTAAATTTACCAACAACAAATAATCATTAAACTGAGACTTTTCACCACTCAAGGGACTGGTAATTATTAACACATTGAACACATCAATACATTAAAATATGCCCTTTAATTGCCTTTAGAGATCATCTGCCATTGGTGATAACCAACAGCCATTAACAGTAATTATCAGTGAACATTAAGAGCAATGACAAGCCAAAAGTTAATTGGCTTTAGAAACTCCCAAATGCAGATTTTAAAATGATAGATTTGACCTCCTAGGGAAGGGAAATAATGTTGTATTGCTCTGGACTAAGGAAACATGGGACATCTCAGTATCCATTGTTGTACTAGAATGCTAACAGGTGAATATCCTCTAATAAAAGACCTGTTATTAAAGAGAATTATGTTGTAAACGATCTTTTCTAGAACTCTCATTTCATGGGTGATATAATCCATAACCGTGAGACCAGAGTCCTGGGCTTGGATACTCCAGGTCTGGCTCAGCACCTCCCCCTTCTCACATAATTGTGGGGCGTCACCCCCTTCCCTGGCAAATGGACCTCTGGAGATAGAACCAGCTTTTGTTCCAAGAAGATGTTGGCTACGGAAGCTCACACCCATTAGGTGGTTTGAGAACTGACTGTAGTCAAGAGCTGCTTTACCATCAGAGATGCAGTTCGTGACAGTGAACACCTACCACTCCATCGCTTTCCTCTCTGCAAACTGTCAGTGCTCAAGTCCTGGTGCAAGCCCTGCCGTAGGGTGGGATCAGCACATGCCCTGGAGATCCGAGTGCATTCAAGCATCCATGACCGGCAAGTTCTAGATTTTGAAAGCTGCTTACCCGTAACTTTAAAGCTCTCTCTTCTTCACTGTCTGCATCAAGAAGGTCATCAATGTCAATTTCTACTTCTGGCATTTCTTCTTCCTGGGGGGG